CAGGAGTCCGATGTGTCGGCACCGCAGGCGCGAGCGCATCAGCGCGGGGCGCCGAGCGACGGCGCGTCTTCGTTTGCGCAGGCGCCGCGGGTATCGAGGCACTTCCCCGTGATGTGGTCGCAGCGCCAATTGCGGCAGTGCGTCGTCAGCATGTTCCCCAGGGAATGGCTGAGCAGTTTTGTTTTTCCGTCATTGGAAGATCTAGTCAATCAGTCGCCGTTCATTTCGCAAAGTGGCTAGACGAGCGCAGCATCGCTGGACCAGTTGGCAGCACGGCAGGCCAGGGCACGTCTGCCATGCTGGAAGCCGCGGCGGGGCGACAGGCCGGGGCGCTCTCGGCCAAGCACGCGTTGCCGCCTCTCCTGGGCCACAGCCGGGATGAGGAAGAGCATTTCCGCGCCGCGGTTGATTTCGCGAAGCGGGGGAAGTTACCGTTCGATGAGGACGTTGCTGCTCCGCATGACTTGAAATTTGCGGCGGAGTCCACCGCCGCAGAGCTGCGCGACTTGGGGGAGTTTCGGTTGCGCAGCATGCACGCGCTGCAAGAGCTTAGTCGCCGGTGGAAGCCCCTCACGGCGGAGCTCTTGAAGTGGCAGAGTCCGACTGTGCGCGCCGTGGCGGGGCATATTCACGCCGGACTCATTGCCGTGCTGGTGGTGCTCGCGCGGTGGCCAGACCAAAAGCTGGCGTTGCGCTTCGTCGCCGGCTTTGGCATCACTGGCGTAATGGAGAATACGGGTGCTTTTGAACCATCCGAGTATGAAGCTCCCATGCCCGTGCACTCGCTGCTTGGAGAGTCCAAAGTCTTGCTGGCGGAACTGGATCGCCAGCGCGCGAGTGAGGAGGGCCAATTTCTTTGGGATAGCTGCGAGGAAGAGCGCAAGAAAGGCTGGGCGGCACCGCTGCGAAGCAAGTCGGACATTGATGCGGAGTTCGGCGCGGGGCAGCGGGCGCCGATTCCTGCGTTTTGCCATATTCAGCCTTCTGGAAAAAGGAGGAGAATCGACGACGGGCGTCGGGGTAGGCAGAACGAAGCGACGGCATTTTGTGAGCGGCAAAGAATGTGTACGCCATTCCAGCCTGTCATCGATGCGAGGGTGGTCCGGCAAGCGTGTGCGGACGCTGGTGCCGACGTGGCCCGCGAGAGGCTCGTGTCGGGGGGCGAAGATTTGCCGTCGGCCTATCGCTCAGTCCCTGTGCACCCAGATCACTTGCGCTTGAACGTCGTGGCGGTCCGCGATCCTGTCACGGGAGAATGGAGGTTCCAGGTGGCGTGGGCGTTGCCCTTTTTTTTTATTTTTTTTTTTTTTCTTTTTTTTTGTTTTTTTTTTTTTTTTTTTTTTTTTTTTTGTTTCTTTTTTATTATTTTTTTTTTTTCGGTTTCTCCGCGTCAGTCAGCCAGTTCGCGCGATGGGAGGGATTCCCTGCAGGCAGTGCAGCGCCGCGTGTTGTCGCATTTTTTTTTTTTTTTTTTTTTTGTTTTTTTTTTTTTTTTTTTTTTTTTTCTTTTTTTTTTTTTTTTTTTTTTTTTTTTTTTTTTTTCTTTTTTTTTTTATTTTTTTTTTTTTTTTTTTTTTTTTTTTTTTTTTTTTTTTTGCTTGCCATGTATGTGGGCGACGCGAATATTACTGATTTTGAATCAGCTGGGGGCGCTGGTCAGGAGGCCGCACAGTGCCTTTGCGCGGAGTTGGGCACGCCTGTGGCTCCCTCGAAGACGAGGAGGATGAGCCCGTCCGGCGATTTTCTGGGCGTCGTGCACACCTTCGGCCCTTCGCTGGACTCGAATGTCATATCTTTCTGGGCGCGCGACACTCTCGTCGAAAAGGCGAAGACGTTCATTGCGGCGAGGCGCAGCGAGGGCAGGCTCACGCCCGGAGACGCCAGCAAGTTGAGAGGCCTCCTCTACTTCATCGCCAGAGCGGCGTGGCACGGCGTGGGCAAAGCAGGCATGGGGGCTCTGAGGCAACGGCAGTACACAGATCAGCCGCCTTGGACCCTGAGCAACTGCCTGGTGCGCGCCCTCGATTTCTTTTATATAAGTCTGCAAGACATGCCGAGCCGCGTGGCCGAGATCGCGCCGAGAAGCGAGCCTTTGATTCTCATTGCTTCTGACGCGCGCGCTGACAATGACGCGTGGCCGACAGGGGGGTACGTGTTGTTAGATTGCGCCGGCGGCTATCGGCAAGCTGGCTTCTGCGTTTTTGACGGGGCTCTGCTGGGCATGTGGGGCTACTGTGAGGAGCGCTTGAGGCAGGGCGGCCAGCCCATCGCGCTGTGTGAGGGCGCGATGCCGCCCATCATCTACCAGCGCCACGCTAAGCGGCTGGCAAACCGCCGCGTGCTGTATTTCATAGACAATACCAGCTCTCTGCATTCGTACGTTCAGGGCTGCGCGGTGCCGGCCGCGCTGGATCGGTCGATTGCTTTCACTAATTTCTTGGCGAGCCGCCGTTCGATCACCACGTGGTGGGAATTCACGCCTTCGGGGACCACTTGGTCG